AAAAAATCACTATTTCAAAACTAATTAAAAAAAAACTCATTTTAATTGTTGTCAACTGCTATCATCATTTATAATAAATAGCATTATTATTATTCTTATTCATTGCTGTTCTAAGAATTATTTTCTTTTATTAAGAGAGATCTGAATATAAATGCAAAACGGACCCTCAACATTAATCTCGCTAATACAGTTTCTTATCTCAATTAATTAATAGTAGTTTTTTTCTCTCAAAATTTCCCAATGACAGTACCGGAGGTTCGGTTTCCGATATTGGCGGTGGTGAGGATAATAGGAATCGCAGTAATGGCGTTGGTTCTAACATGGACTGTGCATTATAGGGGAGGCTTAGCTCTGATTTCCGACAACAAAGCTCTTATTTTCAATGTACTCTCCCCTTATTTTGTTTAATTTTTACTTACTCCTTATTTTCTCGAATTAATTCGTTTATGTTGGTTAACGTTGAAATGAAAGCGTTGAACGCTTAAAAATTGGTGGCGATTTTGTTACAGGAGGGTTAATTTGAATAAATAAGTTTATTTCTTTGATGGTTAGATGTTGTAGATCATTAGACTTTGGACTTATTTTGACTTGTGATTGAAATTGATCATCTGTACTGTGAATTGTGTAGGTCCATCCTGTATTAATGGTGATTGGTCTTGTACTTCTGAATGGTGAAGGTAAGGATACACATAATTCAATTCACATTATATGTTATTAATGTTGAATTAAAACATTCTGGACAATGATCGTAGAAAAAATTGACAGTCTGTCCCATTAATATTTAATAGCATTTTTCTATTGAAATTTATTAATAGCACTTTGATGCTGCGGAGTAATGCGGAAGATGATTAACACTCCAAACACTCGATGATTCAATAGAATATCAAGGATTTGTCCATCAAATACTGAATAATTGGAAGAATTGAGAAACTTTCAAATTTTCTGTAATAAATACCTAAGTTACAACAAAACTAATTCTAGCTTTTAAAGGAAAATAAGAAGTCCTAAATTACAAACTTTAGGAAATTAATGTAAACAAGCAAATAAATAAATAAATATTTTCTCCTGAATTATAGAAGTCCCAATTTGACAGCTTAAATGATGTATTTTGGCCATAAAACCAGAGGGTTTTGAAAGTCCCCGAGTCCAGCTCATTGCTCGTTTCTGCCCAGAAAAATGATATTATTCATCAAGTTTCGACGTGTTGACTCACATCCAATTGCATCACATTTTCTATTGGAGATTACTAGGTAAGATTATTTTATATGTTGTCCTATATCCATAATGTGTGACAAACACGTCCATAGGTGCCATAACCAATACCCATTGTCCCATCCCCTTTTCTATTTCTGTTTCTACTATTTTATTAAATCAAAACCAAAAAGTTCCACTAATTTGTTCTGTTTCTTTGTTTCTATCTATTATTTATGGCTATGAAAAAATAGAAAATGGTGCAGATGTTTTATAGCTGCATTAAACCAACAGCGTCAAGTTTTCATATATAACTTCCAAATTTCTTTGTTTCTTATTTTGTGGATTATTGAGATGAAGGCATTGACAGCTTCAAGTTATGGCTTATCTCTGTGTACTTTGTTCTAAAAATTACGATTCCCTTCCTTTTAAGTGATAATTTGTTTGGTGAGCTATGTATGTAGAAGTCTTCAGATGCATGGTAGCAAAAGCGATGGAGATGAATGTTGAATAATTCATTTGGAGATTATTTTCTTTAATTAATTAGAATTCTTGTTTATTGACATTGCTTTGAGTTCTAATTAGATTATAATTAAACACTTCAATGTGCTCATTTTTAGGGTTTATTGTTTTTTTGTATTTATACCGTTTATCGAGTGCGTATAATGTTTTTGTGATCTCGTATTTGGTATCGTTTGCACTTCTGCCTGCATCAAACGGCCTTAGCTTAGACTAAAGCAACTTTGCTGCACTATTATGTGAGTCAATGATACCTTGATCAAAATGGATTTTTGTGGACATTATATTTTATGGTACGAGGATACAAGCTGGTTACAATTTTTATTATATAGAAGCCTTAAGGCGCTCGCAAAACAGTACAGTGAAGTACAAATAGTTTTGATCATATCCAAATATTGCACTTGTGTTGCTCAGGAACAGAAGTTTGGTAATCTAAACAATTGCTCCTTTCAATTTTACTCGCTCTTCTAAAATATAATATCTACTTCTAATTTTGATTGCCTACATGGTGCTTGTTTCAAACACCTACTTCTCAAAATCATTGAATAGACCTCTCAGTGGAAATTGAAACCCAGATGAAGAAGTTGTTTCAAAATCTTTGAACGGTCCAAAGGGCCTTGAAGTCAGCCTGGAGGGAGTATTTTCTGGAGAGAATGAACGGTAAAATGTAAAATAAAATTTCTACTTGGATCATCAGCATCTATATCTTGTTCTCTTTTTTTCTTTTTTTGATAACCATAGGTGCCCGGGCCAATTTACGCGCACTTCGACTAATCTCACGGGACCTTGAAGTTTACAGTCGAGTAGTCACTTTAGTGGCCCTGAGGGGACTCGAACTAATGACCATTGGGGAGCAAATCCAACTATATCTTGTTCTCTTAAATTTACTTGTAAAAGTATTTCAACGTGCATTAACCATTGATTGCATGACAACGCTGATTATTTCTGCAACTGGCTCTATAATATTGGAAGAACTAGTTTATGGAAATTTGGTAGTCTTGTACAGGTATACTTTCATGCAAGTAATATTACGTCTGAAACTTGTTTTCCAATTGTACCCACCAATTTTCTCCCGTTTGAAGCACTGCAGGAGCCACTTGCTCTAACTGATTTTCACCCTTACCAGTGTGATTTTTAAGTTGCCCCCAGGGCACATCTCCAAGTTGTAAAAGAGGAGGGTGGAGAAATCCAACTTTACTTTAGGCTGCTGCGTCAGGGGTTCGAATCCTGAAATATGGATTTGACTCTTGGGTAAGTGCAAGTGTACAAGCAGCCTTCCACCATGTACCCTTGGAGGCATAACCTGCGATTTATCTCCCTCACGATACTCCAGAGCAGGGGTAGTGGGGGACCCTTAAAGTTAGGGTTTAACCTTTAAGTGTGATTTTTAAGTTATCTATGGTCATGCCCAAGGGCATACAAGCAGATTTCCCTTTTCTGTCAATGAAAAACCCTTTCCCAAACTGCACAAGCTTTGGGAATAACACCATTCATTGGTCTGGGATCAACTATTTTTATGCTTCTCATTTGTTTGTGTATTGTCAGATCTGTCCATTACACCCATCATCATTACCTGTTTGCTGGCATTCTCAGAATTATGTTTATAATTGCTTGTTATGGATTTCTGTAGCCATGCTGGCCTACAAGTCTGTCTCAGGAACAAAAAACTTCAAAAAATCAATTCATCTGTGTTTGCAATTCTTGGCATTCTGTTTGAGCGTAATTGGAGTATGGGCTGCTTTGAAGTTTCACAATGACAAAGGCGTCGACAATTTCTATAGCCTCCACTCATGGCTTGGACTAGCCTGCCTTTTTTTGTTCGGAATTCAGGTATGGTCTTTTAATCCTTCCCTCCAAGGCTCCAACAAATTCTCTAGTATTTTCTCAGGTTCCATCAATTAATTTTGTCAATAATTTCTTTCGCAGTGGGCTGCTGGATTTGTAACCTTTTGGTATCCCGGTGGTTCAAGGAACAGTAGAGCTAGTCTGCTGCCTTGGCATGTATTTTTTGGTGCGTATATTTATGCTCTAGCTGTCGCTACTTGCACCACTGGTTTCTTAGAGAAAGCAACGTTTCTTCAAACACACAACATAATAGCACGATATTCATCTGAGGCATTGTTGGTGAACTCTCTTGGTATGTTGATAGTTGTTTTGGGTGGTTTTGCAATTCTTGCTGTCATATCTCCTGTGTCTGACAAAGGTGACATTCTCAGAGAATCCATAGAATAGTTTCACTTTTGTAGACAGAGATGTGAAGAGATTGTATTGACGGATTTATAGAAAAACCAAATGAAATTTGCGTTTCTATATAAGATTTCGATTACATATATTACATATTTCAACTTTCATGAGCAAAGCCAGCATAGACTGTATTTTACATCTCTAAATCAATAAGTGTTCACCGTACTCTTGAACAATAACAGGAACACTTGTTGGAGGGATCTACACATTGCAACAAACATATAACATTACATAACACACGAAACAAGTTATCCAAAGTAACTACAGAAACTCTCTCTCAAGAGGGGCTTCAATAAATTTAATTAATTTTATTTCAGTGATGCAAAAAGAGCTCCAAGATATTGGTCGAAGAAAAAAGAGTATGATAAATTAAGTTCTAAAATGAAAATAAAATCATCTTATAAACATGCATAGTTAAGAACATATTAATCGAGCAAAAGAACTGGTTAAAATGAGTTACGGAGAACGAGATCGAGTTAAAATGAATAATTTGTAACTTATTCACTGATCTATGAGCTCGTCAAAGTCGTATTGTACCCTGAGTAGACCACCATCCTTAGTGTGTCGAGTACGCAGTGACTTGACTCACTACTTCGGCTAATGACTATTTTTAGTAACAGTAAATAGTCTTTTGACATACAATGATCATAGTTTCAAGGTTGAAGGATGGCAAGTAAGGAACATGATCACAATAATTCTATATACAACAGTAAAGAAGCAAACTCATGATCCACTCTAGGATTACTTCTACTGAATTTTTTAGGCATATTCATTGCTAAATCTACTGGTAGAATATGATCATTTATATGAACCTTGCTTCAACTTACCATGCCATATTCTGTGATGATCATTGAAATGTAGTCCGAAGGTGTTGCATCGTAACTGTTACAGTGGAAAATCGAAAACTTTAGCTTGCAATACAAGGTCAAATACTACGGAATCTTAAAAATAAAACTTACATCAGATTCAAAAGTTGAAGATTTTGGATACTGGCCCAATCATTCAAATATTTGATATCCTCCTTACCAGAAACCCTTGCAATATCATCAGGGTCACCTGTAATAATGTGAGACCAGCCGAAAATGTTATAAACAGGATACACATATCTAATGGGGATATTACAAAATGAAAATTAAGAATTCTCACCAAGTTCATTAAAGCAAATTGAATCAAGTTGAACCCTTTTATGAAACTTATATGCTTCACAACATACCAAGACTGGAACATGGAACTGATGGGCAACCATAGCAACAGATGCATTGCCAACCCTTGAATAAACCGTTCCATTAGACAACACCGATGAAGCACCCAAAAATACTCGTGTTACTTCATGCATTATATAGGAAATACCATTTAAATGGGTGTATGTACAACTAATACCCTTTCCCAGCAACCTACGAAGTAACATCCTCCCTTCAAGCTTTGGACGTGAATCCACAATCACAACTCGGAACTGTTTGCCAAGCTCTTGGGCACATAAGAATATCATTTCGACAACAGATGATGACCCATGTATGAGAAGAACATCACCATCCCTAATCTTTGTTACAGCATGCCTCGCGATTACTTTTTCTGCAAGAATTATCTTCTCATTTATAAAGCGATCGATATCTGAGAGAAGGCTCGCTTTTGCTTCTGACTCGGACATGGTCGAAGGTAATTCAGAAATTTTGTGTTTAAGAAAACTAATTGCATTCCCCATGCTAATTGAAAGGGGCCTGCATTGAATCAGAAATGAGACGTAACCATTTATCTTTGTAGGGAGGTCCCTTGTAAGTTCTTTCTCCATTGGAGTAAAGTAATCTTTGATTGACTCTTGAAATGCCTGAAGCATTGCAATACAGCGGGCATTTCCACCAGATATATCCCCAGTCAAAAACCTCAGCCCAACCTGACAACAAATAAACCCCATAATCAGGATAAAGTGTACGAGGAGATAGAGATTATCTGCAGCAGCTTTCCACCACATGATCCCAGATGAGATCTCATGTGCAACCCATGAATTTAATAGTTGAAACCAGATTATATGACCATATAAATAGTTGTAACAATATGCCTTCAGAGGGGTTCTTACTCCAATCGTAAGGATTTGAGTTAATAAATGTTACTGAGGGAAAACAAATAATTATCTAAGTATCTACCGCATAAATTGCAGGATGGACTGTGTCAAGCTGAAAGAACTTTGATTCAAGGTCAAGAAGCTGAGTTCCATGTTCATATTGAGGTAGATGTCTAAATAGTTCAACTCTGTTCTTGGATTCAGTTTGTTTCACCACAGACCGTTTCTTTGCCTTCTCAACTTGGTCCTCATCATCAAACTGCATACGTGGATGAGGGATATCTTTCTTCCTATCTTTATCTGTTTGACGATCACCACCTTTCTTCTCAGAAGCTGCAACTGAGGAGCTGTCTTTCTTTCGGGGAGGAGCCTTTGCAACCTTTTTGGTATTTGCATTGGCTGAATTGACCACTGCAGAAGCAGCAGCAGACTTCTTACTTCCACCAGCTGGATAAATAAAGTATTGACCATCCGTGAGATGAACAGATCATCAAAGTATATGACAGAATACAATTGGATTCCAAAAACATGAAGATATTAATCAGAACAAACGCCTTGAGATACTATTTTGCCACCATTTACCCTGAAAGTAAAGAAGAAGACATAGGCAACTTATTGATGCTGAGGAAATGGAGTTTAGCAAGTGAACATCACAGAATCCGTTCATGTATCAACTAAACATGGTAGCAACGAATCTTCTATTATTGGTTTGAATAGCAAGACCGCATCCCTTAATGCCCGAAAAGATGCAGGACATGTCTTGCAAAAGCAATTATGCAAGGGTAACAGTAAAGCAATTAAAAATGTGGAAAAAATAGAAAAGCCAATGAAATGAAGACTTGATGTCGCTGAAATTCATGAAAATCAAGAACTTGTTGACACCATGTAGCACCATAATACACAAACGAAAATGAGTACACGCCCATATGTTATACAAAATAGTTATATGGAAAATGAAGTATTCGAACAACATTCATTTATAATCAGTATTTCTTGGAATGATCAGCTTTCTTACAAAATGTAGGCAAGTTTACGACCAGACACATGCTATTCATAAAAAGCACCAAATTTCAGATCACTATACTAACAAGTAAAGAAAATCACACAAAGCAAGATTGTGGCTCCGGGAAGTTAAATAATGGAGTACACAATACAGGTCAACTCAAAAATTATATAAGAAGCACAGTTAGAAAAAATAATAATAATAATAATAATAATAATAAATAAATAAATAAATAATCTGTAAACAAGTGAAAAAAATCACCATTAGCAGCAGCTTTGGCGGTTCGCTGAGCCTCCTGAAGAGCACGTCGTTCAGACTTGGTCGTTTTCTCCTTTTTCGGCTTTGAACTAGCTGGCGGTTGCTCCTTCTGCGCCTCCATAGGCGGCCCTTCATCTAACAAATCACCAAGTTACAGAATCAAACCCAAAAGTCAATTAAACTCACTTAAAAATAAAAAGAAGCAGAGAAATATTTAAAAAGGAAAACAAAAATGATAAATGAAAATCTAACTTGTAATGACAGGGGTCAATCCACTGGCGGCATGAGTATTCTGTTTCAAGGCGGCTTTACCGGAATTCTCATTGAGGACCCAGCCGGTGTCTTTGGAGAAGTTGTCCTCAGAGAAGTCTTCAGTTGCAGAAGGGGATGAAAATTCCGAGGGGTTATAGCTGCCAACGGGGAGGAAGGAGTCGGCGGCGATGAGGGGGGAAAGTGGGGCGTTGTCGGAGGAGAGGTGTCGCGGCGGAGGGATCATGACGGGGGACAAGGAGTAGCCGGCGACCGGAGGGGAAAGAGTGGTCTGCCGTGGCGGACTCGACATAGATTCATCGGGTGGGCCCACTGGTGCGAAGAACCCGACATGCCGGACTTTCGGGTCGGTTACAGTTCGGGGCAGCCGGCGAGGGTCCATTTTGAAGGGTATTATTTATGGGGAAAATTTGGCCAAATAGCCAGGTATACAATGATTTTGGACAAATGGCTTTTGACCCAGAACTAAATAAAATATAATAATTTAAAAGGTTTTAATTGATAAAAAGATAAAATTGCCATTCAGTTTTTAATTCAAAAATTACCCAAATTTCCCCTCAATTTTACCCGTTTCTTCAGTAAAACCATATTCTCCCAATTTCAAAACTTAAGGGGCTTTCATTTAAAAAGCCTAGTCAAACAAAACATTAATTTAAAAAGTCCACAAACTAAGTTTTTTTGGATAAAAGGCCTAAAGATATGGAAAATGCTAATTATATTATCACTACGAATTTTAATTATTACACCACAATTAAAGTATATTTTTAGTTAAATTTACAATTATACTACAAATTCAATAAAAATAAAAAAATTGAAAAAGAACATAATATAATATTATGGTGTACTTATCACCAATATTAATCCTCATTTTCTCAAACTTTCCCCTCATTTATTTCATCGCAATTGAAATCAGAAGATCGATGAAGAATACCATGCCATAATAAATTGAATATTTGTCACGAATAATTAATATGTCCAAAAGGATTTTTTGAAGTTGTCCGTAATTTGTTTGTGTTTCCATTTTCATTCGAAAAATGAAATTTTAATTATTCGCAATTTCATTTTTTAATATTGGAAGTCTATTTTGGAAACACTTTTAAGTGGAAAATTAAGAAATTTTATCGATAACAAATTTATAATTTCATGGATAAAAAGGTTTTAATAATTTATCGGACAGATTTAAAACCCAACTTGAGGAAGCATTTATGACTTATTTTTGATAAACTGGACATGTTTCAGAAATTGAATAATAGATATAAATTTAATATTCGATTTATTTATATTTGGTCAGTAGTAAAGTATTGTGTATACTCATATATATTAACATAATCATCATTTTCCTAACATTTAGGACAAATAAATTGAATTATGATAGGTTATAAAAAATAAATTTAATTTATTACAATCATATAAAAAATACAATATAACAATAAA